TGTGTGTGTGTGTGTGTGTGTGTGTGTGTGTGTGTGAATGAGAGTGCCTCACTGTAACTTGGCCAGACCCATCAATGAAACAGCAGGTTCAAGTCTCCTGGTGAGCAGGTGATGCACTTGCAAAGAGCAGCCAGCAGGGGGAACCCATGACCCTTGGAACCAAGATTCTTTTCTAAACACCAGACTTTACAAAAGTTTGAAAGGGTTTTGATTTTGTTTGGAGTAGGAGGATTGGGTATGGAATGTGACAAGAGTCTTGGCTTGGGGAGTGTAGGAAACATAAGGGAGGTGTGATTTCCAAGCCTATATTTCTTCAAAGATTTCTTCTCAAGTGTTTTGTCAATAGTCTGGCTTGCTAGGCACAGGGTTGACATAGTAATTGGGGATGGACAAGGTAGTGAGATCTCATGATTACCCAGCAGGCTGCCATGGTGTCAAGAATTGAAACTTGAGTTTGCTTCCAAGACTATCTGGAAATCAGAGAACTACATTTGGAAGGGTCTTACAGGGTTGTGCCATAGGTCAGGGCTCTGTGACCCTGTCTAGGAGTGGAGGGACAAAACAAAGGCCACATGTGAGTCACAGCACACCTTCAATCAAAGAAGCGCTATGACTATATATTCAGTTACTGCATAAGATTTTATTTGGCCAAGGGAGTAGTGGCTTAAAAAACTTTTGGATTTGAAAAATCACAGGTGTGGTCTAATTCTTTTTTCCCCCCAGTTTATAATTTTTAAAAATTAAATTCTATGAAACCTGAATATATGGAATTTACAAAAAAACCCTGAAATTATTACTGTAGAAGAAACTATTAGATAAATTATCAGGGTAATGACTTTTTATAACATGAGATTGTTAAGTGACTTCTGATCTGCTCCCAATATTAACATAGTAACTGGGATTTCACATGGAATTCACCATGTCAAAATTTTGCAGAATTTCAAAATGTCAATCTTTTGCTTTCTTGACCAGGCTCAAGACAACGCTGGTCTATTCACTGCGGGGTGGAGTGGTTAGGTCCAAGGGGACCCATTTCCTACCAATCTTGGTAAAGGTTCACTGGTGTGGATGACTGTTGTCCCTGGGCAGCTGGGAGCCTTTTGAACTATAAAATACTCTGGTACGATTTCTCTTGTCTCTTTTCTTTTTGAAGTCTAACGTCTGTGTGGGGACCTGTCTCACTGGTTTTTATCCTTCTCCTGCTGTCTCGGTCCAATTCTTTCTTATGAGTGACAGACAGGGTCACTGAGACCCAGAGCAGCATTCAAGGTCCTCCATCAGCTGGCGACAGCACTGGGACATCCTCTCATATCATCTCCACTGAGACTAGAGTGGAGACTAGGCTCCCAGGTGGGTGTCCTCATATCCTCAAGCTCTGAGTCTCCTTCCATTTATAGATATTCAAAGGTCTATAGCCTCTTTCTTTCCCTGGTTTCTATTGTCTTATCTAGGAAATGGGAAGAATAACCTTGGTCTAAGTGCATGACTCCACCCAATAAGGTTTCTGCAGATTTAATGGGTATAATTTAGTAACAGGACAGATATGATTTCCCTAGGAATAGGGTCCATTGTAATAAAAACGTCAGGTCATAATTTCCATACTTCCCTTCCCTCCACTCACCTCAAATTGTAAGTTTTGAAGGTAGAGCTTTTTATAATACCGTATTGATGACCTTTGGGTCCCAAGATTTGCATAGCCAAATGAACTCAGATGCCCTTGGCATCTTCTCAAGTTCTAATCCTAGTCCGGGCACAGGATTCCCCCAACTCCCATCAAGATGCAAACCACACTCCCTTCATCCACAGAACTTTAGACTCAAGCAAAGAGACCAAGCTGTCCCTTGGGCTTCCACAGTGTTCTCTCCTGTCCCTTCCTTCTCTTCTCCATTGACATGATATCCCTGAAGTCTTCTCATTGTCTCTTGTTGTTATGTGTCATTGAGTCTATTATGACTAATAGGGACCCAATGCACAACAGCTTTGAATCTTGCCCCATCCTGAGCCAACCTCACCATCTCCGACACACTTCCTCCCATTGCCACAGTCACTGAGTCAATCCATTTCATCCCGGGTTGTCCTCTCCTGTGCTGACCCTCCACCCTTCTAAGCATGATGTCCTTCTCTGAGGACTCAGGTGGAATGCCCTTGAAGTGCAATCCCTTTCCCATGTCTACACTGACAGGAGAGAGAAAACAGAAAAAGCACTCAGGCTCGCGTGAGAGGAGTGGCAAGGGCTGAGGGGAAAAAAATGAGAAAGCAGGAGGAATTTTAAGACATGTTTCTATGATTTGTGGCCACGACTTATCAGGAGACCATATACTCTGGCCTGTGACTCGGCCACCTCGCTTATGGCTCTGCAGGCGATTCAGTTATTTAATATCTATTTCCCACCTAGATTGTAAACTCTGAGGACAGGAATATTTTCTCGTTTTCATGTTTGCTGTTATTAGGTGCTGTCGAGTTGGCTTTGATTGCAGATGCCATGTGAACAGTGGATTAGAACTTGGCACTATCCTGCGCCATCCTCTGGATCTCCAACTCGCTGGAGCCCATTATTACAATCACTGTGCCAATCCATCTCAGAGAGAGTCTTCCTCTTTTTGTTAACCCTCTACTTCTGCCAGCATGACATCCTTTCCTAAGAACTGACCCCTCCTGACAACATGCCCAAAGTCTGTGAGACCACGTTTCACCATACTTGTCTTTAAAGAGCACCCTGGTTGCACTTCAAGACAGATTTGTTTGTTCTTTTGGTGGTTGTTGTTATGTGCTGTCGAGTTACCTGCCACTCATAGTGACCCTATGCACAACAGCCCTAAACCCTGATCTACCCTGTGCCAATCTTATTGTCTCAGACACACCCATCCCGATTACCCCAGTTACTGAATCAATCCATCTCATCGAGGGTCTTCCTCTCTTGCGCTGTAGCACATAATATATTCAATATTCTTTGCTAACACCAGGATTCAAGAGAACAATTTTTCTTTTTTTAAATTTTTTTAAAATTTTATTATTTTTGTGTGCGTGTACCATCAAATCAGATCTGACTGGTACAGGAGGAGATTGTCCCTCCTTCCCCAGCAGAGCATCTGCTGGATTCGAACCGTGTGCCTCTGGGATTGTAGTTGCAGCTCCTTGCCACTAGGCCACCAGAGCTCTCCCAAGAACAATTTTTCTATAATTTTCCGTATTCATTGTCCATCTGTCACATGCATATGAGGCATTTGAAAATACCATGGCTTGGATCGGGTGTACCCTAGTCTTTAAACTAACATCCTTTCTCTTTAATGCTTTCAAGAAGTCCTTGACAGTTGTTGT